CCCCCCCCCCCCCCCCCCCGGCCATTTCTTCTCTCCACACCAATGTGCAGCAAACCCCCTTCTCCCCATTTCCTTCCAGCTAGGACAAATGTAGTAAGACAGCAAGCGCGGGACCCAGTGCTTGGGCTGAGCTGAGGCTGGTTTGGTGGGGGCAGCCCCCAGGGGCGGCTCCCAGTGTCGCCTGCCCAGGCCCCACTTGCACCACACAGGGAAGTTCCGCTGCTTCTCTCACTGCGTGCAGTGTGGGATGGAGCCGTCTCCAAAGCCCTGTCTTGGGAGAATGGTCTGAGAGACCTTATTCCTATTTTCCTTCAGAAGTTCTTGTGACCCATGCTTTTTGTAAGCAGTTTCGCTGCTTTCTTTTATTCTTGCCCCTTAGGTGAAGAAAAGAATCTGCTCACCTTGCTTAAAACCAGTGTCCTGAGGTCTGTTCACCTAGGCACAACTTTTTCCTGTTGTCCTTCAGTGGAGAGGAGGCATGCAGTCTGGCACACAGCTCTGCCTAACTCCTCTCACTGAAAAGGTTCCAGCTGTCGTTTGTGACTTGAGAGGGTTAATGCATTAAAGCTGACCAAGATGTGAATGGGAGTTGTCTGAATCTCTAGAGCAAACTAAAACAACAGTGACATGAGAAAAGCAGTCATCCATTGTTGCCTGATGATAGAGAAGTTTTTAAAAATCAAACGCTCTAGTATAGCCTGACTGTGCACAGAGAAAAACCTAATTAATTATAAATAAGATGAATAAATAATTTAAATGTATCACTTATTTCTCCTTTATAGTTTAACTCATGAAAAAATCATTTCAATTAGAAATTTCAACTCAATCTGAAATGCAGAAAGGCATGATGGTTCAAGATGGATGTGAAGTCCTTTATGATTTTCTTTCAAAAATGTGAGGGTGTGTTGGGTTTTTTTTACCAACTTGGGTGATAAAAAGGAAAAAGAAAAAAAAGATTGCTGAGAGAGATGGAAACAAGAAAAGTTTCCTTTGATAGAGTAACAGAATGTATTTTTAATTTATGCATTAATAAGTATGTTTTGTGCGATGTCCAATTTGTCAAAAATGTCTTGGTTCCCTTAGCATTCATGTTATATGCATGAAATAGATGCAGTTTTCCCCATTAATTATAATATCCCATTTCCTCAAGAGTAACGAACGATGATTCATTCCTCTCCTCTGGCCCTAACTGGCTCCTTGGTATTACTGATGAGGGTTTATTCCATTTATTTTTGACCTTGTGAAACTATTTATGTTGGACTCAGTCATGATGAATGTAGCAGGAACCGGACAGATTAAGGGTGAGAGCATAGAACTAGCAGGCTTGTGTTCCCTCTACTTAGTGATTCCACCTTGCATACCGCTCTTAATACCCAAACAGTAGAGCTCATTTGGCTCTACTGGAAGATCTTGAACCTTGAAAAATATGTCTGTTGTCTATAGCTATAAAAATAATTTATGATGCTGATATCCCTGCTTTTTTTTTTTTTTTTTTTTTTTACATCCTCTACTCCTATGTCTTGCTTTTAATAATTTCATGGGTGCTAGTTAGGACTATATTTATTTCTCCATAGATCTATGTCTTTATGGCTTTCTATTTATTTTCCTCAAGTTTAAAGAGGTATTTGTAATATCTGTATGCTGATGACTCTCTTCTCAAGCACAAAATATGGCCTAATTGCTTCAAATTACTGCTTTTCCTTTTAGTAAATAGTCTCCTGTTTTGTTTTTCCGTTTCCGCTATGCAATTTTCCTGTTCACTGGGAATTATCACTATAGGATATGCAAAATACTTATAAGCTTACATCTGTGTATATGCAAAATACTTATAAGCTTACATCTGTGGCCAGTTGGAAGTGAGATATATTGAATGTGGTGTGAAACAAAGATTTTTATTAGAACTCAACCGGAATAAGGCCAAGAGGAGATCAAAATTAGCAGAGATGGAATCAGAGGAGCATCATCTGGTGACCAGTATTGAACAGGAAGGCATACATAACTATGATACCTAGGAAAGTAAGGTGAAGTTATTTATACAGCTGTCTTAAGGGCAGTGAGTGCTTCGTATACAGATGTGTATTTCAGGTGAAACTTCAGCATTAGATAAATAAGCAGTAGTTTTTCTATTGCTTTTCAGAGGTGTGGACATATCTTTCCTGATGTTTTCTATAGGATGACTGACAGGCAGATGTTTGTCCATTTTCACCTATATCTTTTTATTTAAGAACACGTATTTAGAAAGTTAGGTAACAGGTTCTGTAGACCATTTGGTGATACAGTGGTTTGATTAAATGAATCCAACAGTAAGGAAGGGGTGATAGTCAATCTGAGATGAAAATTAAAAGACATTTAGATGTCTGTCTATATGTGACTGTCCACTTGCTAGTTACGTGACAAGTTCTGATAGTAGTCTGTGGACAGCCAACCATTACAGCCAGTGAGGTACTCTGCCCATCCTGAGGTAAACCTCAAGCTGGGGATTCAGTTGCCTAAACCTAGACTATTAGTGTCCCTTTGAGTTCTGTGGCACATCCCACCTTGCCATGAGCAGCTGTCCTAGAAGAGATGGGTCCTCCTGCAGGTCCCATAGTTAACTGCCATCTCTATGTGTGTCTTACAGAACATTATATGACGACCTTTAGGGAGAGCTGAGCTGTTTTCCCATCTCTCCTTCTTGCCTCCCTCCGCTTTGAAGAGGTCAGCTCCATACAGGAGAGCTAACATAATAGTCAGTAGGCTATGATGGGAGTTAGACTCCTGAATTTGGGTGTTTTAATCACAAATTGAATTGAAACCTCTGAAGAATAATACAGCTTTTAATATAAAACAAGTCTTTCTGTTACCAGCTCACCCAAGAAAAATTTGAGAGAAAGACCTGGGTTGTTTCCAGCCTGCTCTCGATGTTGCAAAATTTTGTTGCATCTAAGGTAACAAAATTTTTCTTTGGTTTCCAGAGCCCTTGCTCTAACTAGTCACTGATATTTCAAATAAGTCCTTCAATTTCACATTCGGTGCTTCTGCAGATGTTTTACCAGATTAGTTCTTCGCTGCTGTCTGGGGATGCTAGTTTAGTGGCAAGAGTGAACCATTGGTTCTATCCTGTATGACCTTAGAAAACACTGTTTGTTTATTGCAGAATTTCAGTATTGTTAAAATGATTTTATGGTAATTTTGCTATAACTTTTAGAAACAGAAGAATTAATGAAAAAAATTTTAATATTCCAGCTTCCATTTGAATTGTCTCGTGATGGTTCTTTATGATACATGCAAGTCCTGATGCCCAACAGGCCAGACGTGCACATCTATGTTTAATGATTTGATAAGGCTTTTCCACCTCCTCATGTTCTGAATTTTCTGAGGAGAGTTCATGAGGATGCATTTCTGATGAAGCATTTGATGGAAAAGTATTGTGATTTTTAATTTTTTTTCCTCTTTCAAAGTACATTTTTGTGTGGATCTGGAAAGCCTAATTTTTGGCTTATGAAAGAATCAGGCATGGAATGTCAACGGGGAACAAGGTTTTAGAATTAAATGGAGGCTAAAGGTGTACTGGAGGAGAAGTGCTAAAGAATAAAATCTCTTTGCTGTTATGTTTCCTTCTGCTCTTATCTGATCTGTTGAGGCTTTTCATTTCAAGGACTTACTTTGTTACTTAGAGATCTGAGATTTTAGCATTTTCCCAAGATTACAGACTCATGGATCACATGTTAATGATACAAATACTTTGTTTTGTGGCTAATAGAACAAATGTCACTTATAGTAAGTGACTCTGTATGTTTGTCATAGAATCATAGAATGTTTGTGTTGGAAGGGACCTTAAAGATCACCCAGTTCCAACCCCCCTGCCGTGGGCAGGGACACCTTCCACCAGACCAGGTTGCTCCAAGCCCCGTCCAACCTGGCCTTGAACACTGCCAGGGAGGGGGCAGCCACAGCTTCTCTGGGCAACCTGTGCCAGTGTCTCACCTCCCTCACAGTGAGGAATTTCTTCCTTATATTGTCACTGTAAATTTGGTTGAAAAAGAACCCTTTAAGACTTGGTTTGAAGCTTTAGAAGGCAGGCATTCTTTATTACAGTGGTGGATGCATGGGGGATCTCTCTGCCCAACAAGCAACAGAGCTTATATTGTGCAACAGTTTACAAATGCATTAGAGTTCCTGGAATAGTTATACATATTCATTATTTCCCCTGGAATTAATTGTAATATTTGCATCCTAATTACACATGTGCTTTTCTTAGGGTCTTTTGTGGGAGTCTTTGGTGGTCTTAAGGGGTGTCCTTTAGTTGAACTCTTCTCTGGAACATGTGCAGAGTGGGTTAACCTACACGCTTTTCTTCTGTACAGTTGGATGGTTTTCACTGGTTCTGACTGCAACTCCAGGTTCTCTGAGCTCAGTGTCTGCTTGTTCTGAAGGTTTGATACATGTTAAGCAACCATGGACTGGTCATATCGGGATGAACTTAAAAGGTGTAACAGGACGTTTCTTTCTGCTTGTTGCTCAAGGCATCAATATCTAATCTAAATCTAACTTCCAGTTTAAAGCTATTAGCCCTGGTCCTATCACTACACTCTCTGATGACGAGTCCCTTCCTGTAGCCCCCTTTAAGTGCTGGAAGGCTGCTATAAGGTCTCTCCAGAGCCTTCTCCAGGCTGAACAACCCCAACTCTCTCAGCCTATTCTCATAAGGGAGGTGCTCCAGCCCCCTGATCACCTTTGTGGCCTCCTCTGAACCTGCTTGAGCAGGTCTGTTCTGTGTTCTTATACTGGGTGCCTCAGAGCTGAACACAGTATTGCAGGTGGGGTCTCACAAGAGTGAAATAGAGGGGGAGAATCACCTCCCTCAATGTACTAGCCATCTAGTTCAACAGCTGCTTTAATGTCCTCTTAGTGTCCTCTGACAATTAGCCCCTATTACTAACTAGTGTGTGAAAAGCTGCAAAAGCTTTTCTTAAGGAGGGGTAGTACTTCTTAGGTCATCTGCTCAAGGGCTTGCATACTTGCATACCAACAGGCTGTACTGTGATGCTGGATTTATTATGTGATAAACTGTCTGGGGAATAGTTTTCCCCTCATGTAATAATTCTTCCAGTTGCATGATGGGAAGGGGTTGTGTCTTGTTTTGCTTTTCTGGGGTTTGTTTGTTTGCTTGTTTTTTATGAGGAAAGAAATCTTCATTGAATAATAACTTACACAAAATCATGTAGTTGAACTCTTTATTATGAATTTGTTTTCATCCCTAGTGAGCAACCCAGTTACAGAGCTGGTCTCTTTACTCTTGGGTTCAATAGTAATTTCTGATTAGCTCTATTTGAAAATTAGCTTCAGCTGGTAGTTTACACAAACAAATGCTCATCAGCCTTGCAAATCTAGTCAAGTAGTCCTGATATGGTGAGTCTCCAAGTGGTATATTTTCAAAATGTGGTGTAACCAGTAATTTGTGGCTGTATGTTGAAATCTTACTATTAATAAGAAATACTGTGATATTGCTAAATTTCATA